CAATTCCCTGAAGTTCAAAGCATGAAACCAGTCAGCTGAAGGGCACTTGAATGACCAGAAAGCATTGGGAGGAGTGTTGAGGGTTTTTTGCAGGACAATGGACATATGCAACATATGCACAATGCAGCCTTCATAGAACCTGAGTAAGGTCACCATGCCCTTGAAGGACACAAAAGAAGGAGAACACGCTCACCAGCAGACGGTTCAGGATGCAAAGGCACACAAGAAAACCACAGCGAGATGCATGAAAAAGAAAGACTATTTAAAATTAACTGAAATATCAAAATGCGTGCGTAAAAAGGATTTAACCAATCATGTATTAGCTTGAGGTGTGAACAATAGAGAACAGTATAAAGATGGCTTGCTTTTTGTAATAAATTGGTTTCACTTATCATATTAATCATGGTGTGATGTCCCGTTAATGATCCTCCGCACCTGGGGACCAGAAATGCATGCAAGCCTCCACCCCAAGAGACATTATGAATTCAAAAAACATGGCCATTAACTGCTTGATACCAACACAGAGTAATGGCAACCAAAATGCAGTCAGCCAAGGGTTTTTTCCACTCTCTCTCAAGCCCCATGCATTGGGCACCAACTTTTGTCCTGGTTTAGGGCAAATTTGGGAGAAAACCTCCAAAGGGGCCCCTCCAAAAAGGAAACACACACAGCCCTACTCCCCAAATGGGTCGGGAAGGATTCCTTGGAGAGAAGTGGAAAGAACCTGTTCATTTAACAGGCAAAGCACCCCCAGCACACAGAATGAACAATACCAGGTGACAACACTCTTTCACCACTCTGAAAAAGATGACAAATTCAGAAAGTCTCTCTTGGGAGTGGTCGCTCTGTTATCAGTCCCTCTGGTGCTGGGGCAGCTGCTGCAGCCACAAGGTGCAAACTCTCGGTGTTTCCCAGGTCCCAGTCTGGAGCAGGTTTGAGTGGTTCCAAAAAAGGGAAAGGAAAACAGTCCAGGGAAAAATTCGGAGTGCTTAGCTAAACTAACTAATGAGCAGAAACAAAAGCAAGAGCAAAGCAAAAAGCCAAGCAAAAAGCAAAAGCAGCACCATGTACTGCCCTGTCTGTTTGTCCCACCAGCCGTTGGGGAGCAGGCTGATATCAAAACCAAAACAAAACTTCGCTCTTCAGAGCGAGTCTTGAAGGCAAAGAACATAATATCCAGCATAAACAGAACACATAGATGGGGATACAAGCATCATAACGTCACCTTAGGACAATCCTGCACCCAAAATTCTGTCCTGCACCCACTGCTGCATCCTGAGTCCTGTCCTGCACCCCGAGCCCCGTCCTGTACCCAAATTCTGTACTGCCCCATACGCCAAACACAAAGCTGCCCCCAAATCCCAACCCCACCCCTCATTCATCACCACATCCCTGTTCTACAGCCACTCCCCACTCTTCCCCCTCTCCCACTGCTGTCCCACCCCCCAATTTATCACCTCTCTCCTGTCCCTGATCTCCTCCCTGTTCCCTCCCCAACCCAGCCCTTCCCCATAAGTGGGCGGCAGCAGCAGTGGCAGCTGGTGGGGGCCAGTGGAGTTGGAGGTGCTGCAGCCCCTGAGCCTCCTCACCCTGGACACGCTCCAGAAGTGCATCTTCAGCCACGAGAGCCACGGCCAGGAGTGATTGTCACCTGTCCCCACTGATCATCTGTAAGAGACATTCTGAGGTTTCCCTCATCTGCCTCACGACCACTGTGATGGATGGAGACTGAAGCCCCCTCCCAAGGGCTGAGACTGAGACCCCTATAACTCTAACACAGGGGCTGGCCGGACTGAAGTGAGATGTTTGCCAAGTGTTGCCTTCAGGTGTGCTCCCTGGACCAAGAAAACAATTGGTCTCGCTCACTGCTGAGAACATGGACTGTCTGTAAACATACCTGTTCCCTCTCAGTGGTTTCAATAGACTTACCTGTTCCCCCCCTTGGTGGAGGACTACAATAGAACGAAGACTTTGAGATTCTCCCTGACGTGACAAGACGGATCTATTGGCTGGACCACGAGGGTTTCATCTGTCCATTGGTAGCTATTCCTCCCCTCTTTCTCCCTCTCTCTCTATCCTTTATTCTCCTTTCTAATCCTTCCATCACATCTGCTGTGGGCACTCAATTAAAGGTGCATTTGTTTTGATTAATACCAAAATCCCCTTCCGTGTTGCTTTTGCACTCTGAGATCAGTTAACGAACCATCATGACCCCTGCTTGTACGAGCGGATCATGACACCATCCTGGTGGCCCTGGTGACCCTACCATTGTCCCTGCTGGCCATCCTGGTGGCCCTGGTGACCCTACCATTGTCCCTGCTGGCCATCCTGGCGGCTGTGCTGGCTCTGCCATGGTCCCCACTGGCCATCCTGTCCAATCACTGTCACTGTTGGCCATTCTGGTGGCCCCAATGGTCCTGCTATCATCCATGCTGGTGGCCACAGTGTCCCCCCATTGTCTCTGGTGCAGACAGACCAGCGAGTACATCCTGCTGCTCACCAAGGTGGGGCTGGGGTGGTGGCCATGGGGCATGAAAGTGGTCAAGAGAGTGGTGGTGGCCATGGAAGGATTGGCCATAGAGGCCAGCAGGATGCTGGTGGCCATGGGGAGCTTGGGCATAGACTGGTGGCCACAGGGGAACAGTGGTGGCCATGGGCAGCACTGACCATAGAGCTGGTGGCCAGTGGGATGGTGGTGCCATAGGGTGGTGGCCATGGATGGGATTTGGCCCCAGGTGGCCACAGACTGGTGGCCCCAGTGGCCCGTGGCCCATCTTGCCCCTGCAGGACGAGAATGGCCGCACCCTGTCGGATGAGGACATCGCGGCTGAGGCTGACACCTTCATGTTTGAGGGTGAGCACGAGCTCGCAGGTGCCACTGGGGAGGAGCCACTCCAGTGTCCCCTCACTCACCCAGTGTCCCCACAGCCACCATGGCCAGTGGCCTGGCATGGCTCTTCTACAACCTGACTGGCCATCCTGAGCACCAGGAGCGATGCCACCAGCAGGTCCAGGAGCTCCTGGCTGGCCGGGACACTGCAGACATTGAATGGTGAGACGTCCCCAGGGCCACCCCGGTCATGTGGCTCGGGGACACGGTGCCACCCCCGCTTGTCCCCAGGGACGACCTGTCCCAGCTGCCCTTCACCACCATGTGCATCAAGGAGAGCCTGCGGCTGCACCCTCCTATCACTGCTGTGTCCCGGCGCTGCACCGAGGACATCCCCCTGTGTGACGGCTGTGTCATCCCCAAGGGTATGGCATGGCCAGGGTGTCCCCAGTGTCACCACCCACCCTCATCTGCTGTCCCTAAAGTGGCCATTCCCATCCCACCAGGGGTCATCTGCCTGAAGAGCATCTACGGGACCCACCACAACCCAGACCTCTGGCCCAAGCCTGAGGTAGGGCCACCCTATGAGGTGTCCCTGTCACCATGGTGGTGACAGCTGTGTCCCCTCGGTGTGACTGTGTCGGTGTCACCCCAGGTGTTCAGTCCTCTGAGGTTCAGTCTGGAGAACAGCAAGGAACGGTCCCCGTTGTCCTTCATCCCCTTCTCTGCTGGCCCCAGGCATGTGCTGGAGTGGGGACAGGAGTGTCCCCAAATGTCACCCCTGTCCCTGGCTGGGTTCACAGTGGGGTGGCAGTGGGGAGGAGCAGGGAACAAATGGTAGCATGAAAGGGACAGTATCATGGTGGTGGTGGGGATGTGTTGTCCTTGGCCATGGGACACCCCATGGCATGGACATGTCAACCCGTGGACTTGTCTCTAGGCCACTTGTGTCACCATCCATGGCCATGTCCCCCATGTCCTCCTCCATGGCCATAGAGCCCCATGTCACCATCTCTATCTGTGACACCCCCCCATGCCAAATATCGCCATCCACAGCCATGTCCTGATCCCCATCCCCACCACATCCCCACCCAGGTCCTTGTCCCCATCCCTACCATGTCCCCACCCAGGTCCTTGACTCCATCCCCACCACATCCCCACCCAGGTCCTTGTCCCCATCCCCACCATGTCCCCACCCATGTCCCACAATGTCACCATCCGTGTGCTAGTTAAATGTCTTTATATTTACCCCAATGTTGGGTGAAGGATAATGAAAAATGAATGAAAATAAAGGCCAAAATAAAAGCATTTACATGTCCATGCTGGCTGAGTATCCGTGTGCCTGGGCGGGTAGAAAGGACCTTTTCTAGAAAGATTTCCACTCCATTGTCTCCAAAATCCTGGGTTTTGCCCCAGTCAATCACCATTTGGCTGTGGAAGATGCTGGTGGGCCAAAGAGAATTAGAATCATGTAATGATTCAGGTTGGAAAAGACCTCCAACACCATTTGGAATTCTGGATGCCACTCAAAGCAATGATTGGATGCAAAAGGTGAGACTTTTTTGGGGTCGAAAGTAAAAAACTGTGCTGTCCCCTGTGAAATTCTGATGTCTGTTTGCATCCCAATGGATTTTTCTCTGGCCGTGTCCAAGTGCCCAAGGGGAGCCAGGAAGACGTGGAGACCACCAGCCAGGTGTCTTCCCAACATGGATCACCAGGACCATGGATGACCAAGTCTCTGCCCAGCGAGGGTCACTGTGGACCATCCAGTGGGGGTCCCCAATGGGGGATGGAGTTGAAGCAGCGCTCAAAGCTCTTCCTGTCACTGCAGGACACAAAACAACACGAGCGCACACACTGCTGCTCTCAAGGGGAAGAAAAGGGAAGTTTATTTCCTGACTCCAACATTTATAATTTTCTAAAAGCGACCGTGGATTGGAGGGTGAAAGTGCCACCTCTCCAATGACACTGGACAAACCAACAGTCCATCAAATTTTTCTTCTTCTATAAAAGAATGCCAAACAAGAAGTTATTTACAGAAAGTGTTTGAGAAAGTTTGCTACAAGAATGTAAACATTAGAAGGCTCAGAAAATCTTTAAGAATCAAGGTAACACTCTTCCTGCACACAGGGCACTTGTTGGGCATCCCTTACTGCTGCCTCCCTTGGTGTTGGGTCATGGCAGAGTTCTGGGAGAAGCTCTTCCCACACTTGGGACACTGTCAGGGCCTCTCCCCAGTGTGGATCCGCTGGTGGGTGACGAGGGTGGAGTTTTTCTAAAAGCCCTTCCTGCAGTCAGGGCAGCAGAAGAGCCTCTATTCTGTGTGAATCTGCTGATGCTTGAGGAGACGGTATCAGCTCTGAAACCTCTCCCCACACTCAGAACACTCATAGGGTCTCTCCCCAGTGTGGATTCTCTGGTGGGCAATCAGCTTAGAGTTCTGCCTGAAGCATTTCCCACATTCCCCACACCTGTAAGGCCTCTCACTGGTGTGGATCGTCTGGTGCAGAATCAGCCTAGTGCTCTGACTGAAGCTTTTCCCACATTCCCTGCACTTGTAGGGCCTCTCCCCAGTGTGGATCCTCTGGTGGGCATTCAGATGGCAGCTCTGCCTAAAGCTTTTCCCACATTCCCTGCACTTGTAGGGCCTCTCCCCAGTGTGGATCCTCTGGTGCAGAATCAGGCCGGAGTTCTCAATGAAGCTCTTCCCACACACTGAGCACGTGTAGGGGCACTCCCCAGTGTGCATTGTCTGGTGGATGATCAGGCGGGAGCTGTCACGGAAGCCCTTCCCACACTCCCCACACACAAAGGGTCGTATCCCAGTGTGGATCATCTGGTGGAGTTTCAGGCTGGAGCTCCTCCTGAACCCTTTCCCACATTCTCCACATTTATAGGGTCGTTCATTGGTGTGGATCCTCTGGTGGGCAATCAGGTTGGAGTTGATCCTGAACCCTTTCCCACATTCCCCACACTTGTGGGGCCGTTCATTGGTGTGGATCCTCTGGTGGACGATCAAGTGGGAGCTGATCCTGAAGCTCTTCCCACATTCCCCACACTTGTGGGGCCGTTCATTGGTGTGGATCCTCTGGTGGACGATCAGGTGGGAGCTGATCCTGAAGCTCTTCCCACATTCCCCACACTCATAGGGCCGTTCCCCGGTGTGGGTCCTCTGGTGGATGAGCAGGTGGTCGCTCCTGCTGAAACTCTTCCCACATTCCAAGCACTGGTGGGGCTTCTTGCCATCATCAAGCTGCTCATGGACCACCACCTCAGCGCTCTGGCCACATCTCTGGCTGCCTTCCTGGCTCAGGCTGAGTCTTTCCTCCTCGGAGCACCCTGGGCTGGGTTTGCAGCCCCTCCTCCTGTGGGATCTCCGGGGCTTTTCCTCCCCGGTGGACTCCTGTGCCCTGGAGCCACTCAAAACAGCCTCTTCCACCAGGTTCTGCTCTGGGGATTTATCCTCCCTGGTCTCCATCCTCAGCTCCTTCCCTGGGGGAGGAAGGACAAGAAGAGGATGGGATTTGCCTCCATGCCAGAGGGAAGGGGAAAGGGGATTCCCCCAGTGCATCCCTGGCTAGACAGCATCAGCAGTGGGGCTGTGCTGCAGCTGGGGCCGTGCTGGGCTGGGAGATGGAGCAGGACAGAGGGGAAAAGGGGCACTGACTTCCTCCTCACCTGCCTCAGTGCCCTGGGGCATCTTCTTCTTCCTCACAGCCTTCTCCATCCAGATGAGGTTTGGGAATGGGAAATCCTGATTTGGGGGAAAAACAAGATGTGAGTGCATTGCCTTCGGAGGTCCCACTGGGCAAGTCCATCTCTAGAAGTCACCAGACGTCTGGTGGCCAGAAATACCTCCAAAAATCAAGGAGTCCAAAAACCTCTCCCAGGAGTTCCCTGTTTCCAGTGTCCTCACTTTGGGGTTATGGGGGTCTCTCTTCTCAGAGCTGCTGGGGGGGCTGTGGGTCCTGGGCATTCCCCCTCTCCCGGGTCCTGCTCAGACATGATGAGGGGGTTTTGGGGGGTGTCCCAGGGCTTACCCTCCCCTGATTCTGTGGAAATTGTTTTTGTGATTTGTGCCAATTGGCAATGGAATCAGCAAATGCTTCTATCTGCTGTGTCCAAAACAGACACAAAGAAAGGTTTTGAAACTTTCTGACCAAACAGCCAAAAAAAGCATCAAAATCAAAGAAGTATAGTAGAGCAAAAGAGATGAGGTAGCAAGATGACTGATGCTTAGAATAAATTAGAGGAAGTTGGGGTAAAGTTAAGAGATATTGCAACAAAGCAATTAAAAGCTTATGTATAATAAAAAGCTTGATGCAGTTGACAAAATCATGTAGCAGACACCAGTGTAAGGCCTCCCTCCAGACAACCACAAGGATAGGAATCAAGGATAACCTAGAAATATTATGAAATTACTGCTCCCAGCTTATTGATATTTGCTAATTTGGACTAACCAGGCACATTGGAAACTGCTTTTTAGGCTTAAAAACAGTATATATACTTTACTGAACTGTGTGTGCTGTGAGTGGAGCAGTGACTCCCCGGCCACCCAGCGCTGCTTGCTTGCTTTAAAATAAAAGGTATAGAAGTAAAATTTGGATTGACCATTGAAATTTTATATCAGGTGTTCCAGGGTCCCCTTTCTCCAGCATCCCCCCACTCTAGGCACTCAGCGCTTCCCCTGCTCCCCTTTGCATTCCTGAGAGATCCAAAAATATCCCCTCATCAAATGAATTAAAAATACCTCTCTCAGCGACACCAAAATATATTTGGGACTCAACTCCTGTGAAAAATGCCAATCACTTGTTTTTAAAATTTTAAAAGTTTATTAGTAATAAAATAGTTCTACAAATACTAATACAATTAGAGTAGTAATAATTTGGACAATTTGAATTAGGACAATACGAGACAACAAATATAAAGAGTTACGGACATCTGGGTACCTTTTTCTGGGCAGCACTAGCACGAAAAAGGACACCCGTTAGCAAAGGATTAACCCTTAAAAACAATAGCCCATTGCATATTCATGCACTTCATACATGATGCATAAATTCCATTCAAACACAGGATTCTGTCTGGCCATCATCAACCTCTTCCCTCTAATCCTAACAGCCCCTTTGAGGTAGGAAGAAGTTTGTTTCTTCTGATAAGAGAGCAATAAATTCTTTTCTCTGAAAGATTCAGGTGTCCTGTGGCTGCTATCTGGTGCGAGTGCCTCATTCCTTTCTTTAAAAAAACCTCACTGAAATAGTTCTTCTTTTAACTACAAAAGTTACCTTTTAATTACAAGACTACATTTATTATTAAACTGTTAATACAGCACTACTAATCAATACATCAAAATACATATGGCAAATGTGAAAATGCCTGTATTTTATGATTGGCTTTTTGCAAATATTAAAATGAATATTATATGTGTTGCGTTAGAAAGTAATGCTGTATTAATTCTCTTAAGTACCGTGTTAAATATAGTTTTAGGTTATAAAAATTGTTAACATAGAAACAATGCTATGTAGGATACTTTTTTAAAGAAAGGACTTGCAGTGAGATAGCAGCCACAGGACACCTAAATCTTTCAGAGAAAAAGAATTTATTGCTCTCTTATCAGAAGAAAAGAACTTCTTCCCGCCTCGAAGGTGCTGTTAGGATTCAGAGGAAGAAGCTGACACTGACCAGAACCACAGAATCCTGTGTTTGAATGTTTGAATAGAATTTATGCGTCATCTATGAGGTGTATGAATATGCAATGGGCTATTGTTTTTAAGGGTTAATCTTCATTAGTGGGGGTCCTTTTTCGGGCTCCTGCTGCCCAGAAAAAGGTACCCAGACGTCCGTAACTCTTTATATTTGTTGTCTCGTATTGTCCTAATTCAAATTGTCTAAATTATTATTACTCTAATTATATTACTATTTGTAGAACTATTTTATTGCTATTAAACTTTTAAAATTTTAAAAACAAGTGATTGCTGTTTTTCACACACCATAAGCACACATACCTTTGCTTAAAACAATGCTTGCTTATTTCGAATACAATACCTGCTTGTAAGCCTTAAAACATAACGCACTGAGCTCCATTCTTAAGCTTCAACTTTCCTAATATCTTGCTAAATAAACTTTCTGCAGCTTAGAGAGCTATTCAGACAAGCGTTAATACACAGGCCATTGTTCTATTTGCCCTTGCTTTTTCTACAGTTTAAACAATTTTTCTGCTGACCTATCTCATGGCTGCACTCTACTCACAGTTCTGCTGTCTCTGAGGCCTGCCTTTTGCAGCTTTCCCAAACCCCTCTGATTTTATGGATTCCCACAGTAAACATCTGCATAGAGCCATATAATACGCACTTTTCATAACTCCGGAATCGGCAAGGTCCAAACCCCAGCAAAATCCCCCTCTTCCCCCCCAAAAACCCTCCCGGAGCTGCCGCTTCCCCTCGGCGCTCACCTGCGGGACGCGGGGCAATGCGATGCTGCCGGGCCCAGCCGAGCTGCGGGCTCGCCGTGGAACCCCGCAATGCTCCTTCCCCGGCTGCTGCTCCTCCTCGGGCTGCTCCCTCCGTGCTGCTCCTGTTCCTGCTCCTCCCCTTCTCCTCTCCCTCCCCTTCCTCCTGCTCCAAGCCCGGATCCCCCTTTCGCACCCCCTCTGCCCCACGGCCGCAGCAGCGCCGGCTCTGGGGTGTTGGGGAAGATGAAACAGGAAAGCCTTACAAATATGATTGTCTGGCAAAAGATTTTGAGAATATGGAAACTATAAGCGAGATTGAAATGAAAGCAAGCTATGAGATCCCTTAGTTACTGAACAACGGGAAAACAATGGTGTGGCCGCTGAAAGTAACCCCCTTTTGATGGAACAATTCCCTCTGCTTGCAGGCAGGTCCCAGGGTCAGAGCAGCCCCTACTGAAGGGGTCCACAGAGGAGTTTTTAGGGTTTAAAATGTAGCACAGTATGGTAATGTAATGATTCTTACAGGTGGTATGGAAATGCTGTAGGATTTGTATCTTGTACTAGATTGCTTAGTGAGAATCAGAATATTCAACACAGAAGATTTATTATATTGTAATGGGAACTTTGCTGTTTTAGCTCTTACCTCTCTTACTCTTGCTCTTACCTCTTGTCTCTTAGCTCTTGCCTTAGATGCTCTTACCCCTTTTACTCTCTTACGCTTTTACTCTCTTACCTTCTCATCCTCTCTTCCCCCTCCTCTCTCGGGCCTGCTCCAGCTGTGGCTGCAGCTCCCAGCAGGGCCCTGCACCAGGCCCTTCGCAATAAACCCCAAATCCCAGCAGGGCCCTGCAGCCAGGCCCTTTGCAATAAACCCCAAATCCCAAAAGGCCCCTGCAGCCAGGCCCTTTGCAATAAACCCCAAATCCCAGCAGGGCCCTGCAGCCAGGCCCTTTGCAATAAACCCCAAGTTCCACGACCTGGCTGCAGAGATCTCTCATCTCCGTCCATCCCGACCGTGCTACCCCCGTCAATCCTACACTGGGGTAGGTGGGGGAAACCCCCAGAGTCCCCAGTGATGGGCAGGGGGCTCAGGGCTTGGGGATTAAGATGTACTTGTAATTTTGTTGTTATGTCTAGGCTCTGAAGCAGGGTTTGTCATTGTTGTGGAAGCAAGATTTGTCAGGACGCAGGACATCCCTCTGGCTGTCCTGAGCAGCCCAGACCCCTGCCAGGGGGCTCAGAGACCCTGGCACAGAGCCCAAAATGCCCCTGTGGTTTTGATTATGACCCATGGAGCAAATTACCAATCTGGTATGAAGATCAGCAAGCCACAACACTTTATGTAGCATATTGGTGAAGTTATTACAGGATGGAAAAGTAGATTTTAGGGTTTTTGGTATGGGGGTTCAGTAGGAAGATGGAGGGAACTGGGTGTGTCCAGCTTTCTCCTTCTTCTTGGCCTCCCTCTTCTGCTGTGATGTTGGCACTTACCAATTGGTTTAGAGTAGAAGCTCACTGTCTAACATAGGTGATAGGTATTGGAAAGTAATTGTAAACATTGTATATGTCGTTTTTAGTATAAAGACATAATACTGCCCTGGGGGAGGCAGAGTGCCTGGAACTGTCTTGCTGAGCTCACCTTGGCAGGACAGGAGAAAATTTTTTATAGGTAAGATAAAATAAACAACCTTGAGACTGAGAAATGAAGAGCCCCGACTCCTTCTTCAAGCGCCGGGCTGGGAAAAGTGACTTTGGAACTTTTCTCAGGGTCACTCTGACCAGCCAGAGATCCTGACAAAGATTAACCAAGGATTAATACAGAA